GTGGATGAAGGAGACCAAAAAACAGAAATGAACAATTACCAAAAACATGAATTTCATTTCACCAAAATATTTTCTGAAATATTGATATCATTTCAGTTAAAGCAAAAAATGAATAAATATTATTAAGGTTTTAAATTTAAAGCAATTTTTAAGGAGCATTGGTACCAATACTTGAAAATAATTGTGAAAATATTTGCGATAATTATTTATAACTTATAATTAATAAACTTATCTATAGTATGATGCTCAATATTCCGGAGATTGGGTGAATATTTAAATGAAATTTAGTTTTGTTACTAATACCTAAGAGTAGCTAATATTGTCGAAAATGATGCTATAGAAGTCTACCAACCAATGGGCTTAACAGACATCCAAACACAGATTTCCAAACACAGATTTCCGTTTTACAAATGGATTATATATACAGAATACAACCAGCAAATGTAGTTTATTTATACGTTGGGCACAACTTGTGGTTATTTTCATGTTTCAATGAAATAAAATTCGAACATAAAACGCTTCTAATGTTAAACCAATTTCAATATATTAAAAACTAATTGCAAAATGGGCTCCCTCACTTCATTCACCCATGCACCCAGTGCTCAACATAACTCATATATATAAAATCAAATAAACAACAACCAAATCACCAGCTAAGAGCATTAAACAGAAGGGTGCAAAGAGTAAACATTTGAAATGGAGTGCCAAAAAATGAAATAAAAACAAATACTGGAATGAATGAATGAATTGGTCATCCATTTAAATTTCAGCCCACATGGGATTAACTCTACTAAATTCAATTAATATAAACTTTGAAATGAGTACATTTTCGTTACTTAAGTATACATATTATATAGTGCTCAAATTAGGCCACATTGACGTAGAATATAAACAACACTTAAACAGTCAGCAAATAAAAAAAACAAATAAATAATGACGAAAATAAAAAAGTGTTTGTTAACTGCACTAAAATATGAAGCAAAGCTAGGAATAAATTATGGCAATAAGACTACACATAAATCTATATATAACTTACATACCTACTCAATTATAAAAGTGCTACCTTCCTGCACTAAAACTATATATACATTCAATTACAATTTTATCATCCAATAAATCCCTTGTTGTGCATTAAGAACTTCTCTGTTAAGTTGTTTGAAAATAGAAACCACTAAAAATTGTCGAAAAAATAATTTATGGCATAAGAATTATGTTGTTCTCGAATAAAAAAACGGATGAACAAAAATGAATTATTTTCGACCGTTGAAAAAATGTTTACACATTCGTAGGAAACGGAATTGTTTTAAGATAGAAAAAAGAACATCAATGAAGGAATGAAGATATACTTTCGCCAACTAAATAAAAAGTATTTAAAGGTAATAAAATGGTACAAAAAGATTGTTTATATACTGAAAGGATGCAGTTAGTGTAATTTGTTTGGCAAGAATTTTACTTAATCCGGTACCGAAAATAAAAAAATTTTTATCTGCAATCACTACGGTTTTAATCTTTTAGTTCTTAATTTTATTTTTTTTTACATTAAGAGATTATTTAGCACACCTTCTGTAAATTAATTGAATACAATTGGATACCAACTCTTAAATACCACATAGGTATACTTAATTAATTTGAATGGATTGTTAACCCCTTCATGCAAACATATGCAGGCTTGAAATTATTTTAAAACTATTGAAAATGTTTCTCTTTATACATCGTAGAGTAGTAAAAGTTCTGCAATCTACTAACATGATTATCGACCATACTTTTTCGAAGCCGTGAGTGACAGAGCAACACCCGTCAAGCTGGTGTATCGGTTTAACGTACCGGGCTGTGCTAAGCGATTTGTTGATGGCGATTATTAGTGTAAGTGCTATACAGCACATTTGGTTTAAAGAAGATAGTGCATTGCCTCATACAGCTTGTGCTATAATCGTTTTCTTGAAGTCATTCTTTCCCAGTTGCTTAATATCAAAACATGGTGGTTTTGGTTGGTCCTACGTGCGCTCGATCTGCGCGATCAAACTTTTTCCTTTGGGACTAGTTAGTTAGTTAGATAGGATGGAGGGATAATCGAATCCTTTTCAATTAGCTAAGAGAGCCGTTTTGAATCCACAAACCCTCGTAATAATGGGTAGTAAAGAAAAGATGAACCTTGAACCAACCAGAGGCATTTATATAGGTAAGAATCTGTCCAATGCTAAGGCTAAAGATATCGCCGAGTATGTTGAAGAAGGGGGCTCCTAGAAACTAAAGCCTAGTTCTGCCCAAGCCAGGACATAGACACACTATGTGTTCTGGTGTCCTCACTTCGATAGCTCCATTTCCTGTGGGACTACTTCAAATCAAAATTTCATTGTTAAGGACGTTAGCTGAAATCAAGGCCAGCATCTGCTAGTAAATAGTCGCTATAGGGGACGAATAAATAGAAAATATTATTAAGAAATGTGAAATTACGGGCACAGTGCGTTATTAGAGCGAAGGTGATGATACAATAAAAAATCCTCAAACCAAGTTAAATGATTTCAAACCTGAATCTAAATAACTTGAATTATTCTATCAGCAAAAGATGTGTTTTCTTTTCATATGGTTTTGTATTAAATATAATATAACCTATCCTACTCTGTATACCTTCCGAAATAAATTGTGGCGATATCTTTTGCACGCGGTTTTCATATTGAAAATTCCATATACTTCTATCATGATATTTTATGTAATAAAAATTCCATGTGTCATATCCGTGATATTTTATACAAAAACGGATTTTAATTGAATTTAATGATAGACTTGTATGTTGAAGTATTCCTTATACATATAAGGAACCACTTAAATTTAATTGAAAGCATCTGTTCATATTTTTATTTTATTTATTTACATTTCAATCTTACTTACATACTGTATGAGTGTATTAAAAATTTTGCAAATTTAATTATATTAAAATATAAGAAAATTACTCGGATAACTTATCTCTTATCTTTTAGTGGTCAGTTTACGAGAATATGCATTGATTAAGATTTTAATTAATGAATTTTCCTTCGCAGATGCTTGCTTAATTTCACATATAAATAAATAAACAAATAAACTCATTAGCTTTTAACAATAATTTGAATTATATATATACATGAATCTGTATATATAATGTATTATGTGAATACATATAAACTAATATTTCTTAAAATTACTTTAGAGCGATCCTGGGGTACATGAGTTTGTTATCTGAGAAAGTATTAAAAATAAATATAAAGATTAAATTACTCTGCTCGTTAAATTCCGCAAAGGAACTGTATATAAAATTAATTATGTGCAAATAATGTTCATCACTTAGAGCTTAAATAAATTAATACCATCAAAGATACAGGAACGATTTCACTTAAGTAAACATTTTGTATATGAAATAAATTGAATGTGGGAGTAATTTTGTAAATATTATTGCTAACAGCATCCGTGCTGCTGTGCGGGAGTACCACATATTCTTAATATGAATATGTCAAGAATTTTATTAAATTAAAAATGAAATTTAAAAAGCACACACTTACACACACACAACAAGAGTCCTTATATGAAGGATTTAAAAGTTAACATGAATAACAAGCAGGAGTAAAATGCTTTAGCTCTTGTTCTAAAAGTTAAAGAGCAAGGAAATTTAAAACTTTTTCCAGTTTAAAATGTCGATTGGAGACGTAATGATATTTATATGTATCTACAGCAAAAGACATATCCTTCCGTTTGTGCGTTTACTACTAATTGTGGGTTAGTTTAGGTTGGAAGGGCGCATATGAAGGTAAACACATGTACTTAGAAACAATTGCAGACTATTCTGATGCCCTTAAAGTTAGTAAGAGGAGGCGTGTAATAATCATTAGTGTACTTAGTTGAAAGTAACTGAATTAAATAGAACAGATATACTTATAAATATTCTAAGAAATGCATTTATAAACAATTGAAATGTTTTTTCTTTGACATGTTGTGATAACAAACATGTAGGATTATTTTTAAAATAAATTTATTTTGTAAAATATATTTTTTAATAATTTAAATATTAATACACGGCTTTTATTTGTTCACAATAACAATATTCCAGTCTGTTATTGTTTTTTCCGTAGTGTGTATAAAAGTAAATTACAAAGTTTACAAAAACTTTGTTTATTATTGTTTGATATCATCAAAAAAATTAAAAAATAAATATACGTAAAATATATTCTTAACTGAATTTAAAAAATTAAAATAATTATTTTAACAAAAAAAAATTCATCACAAAATATAAACAAAAATAGAACCTAGTACGTTGAAATACTTAAGCGGCGATAACGTACATTTTATTTTTGTTATTATTATTATTTATTATTATTTTTATTTTTATTAATACTAAGATCTAATCACAGCACCGCTGCTCTAATGTCTGCTACGCAATCGGATGCTTTACGTCTCGTATCTTGTTTTCATTCCATTGTAAATAATCATAAACAACATAAAACCTGTCTAAGCTACATATTTTCAATTTTAAATCTGCTCAACTGGGAATTCCTATAAACACATTCTGTTCTCTCCGTCAGTTTTCAGATTAACACATCTAGACTAACTCAATAAAAACCCAATACGTACGTAAAGCTCTTCGCAAAATTATCAAACAACATTATTTTTGAAATCAATCCCTTCCCTTCTCTTATATTATTTTTATATTTCTCAATTGGATTTTGCTGGCTTCACATCTATTTTTTCTTGAACGATAAGTCAAAGGTTTTGGAAATTTCTTAAAGCGTTGAGTGCTGAAACTTAGTTACTCGGCAACTAAGATTAAATTAAAGTGCAGAATTTCCGATGAGTTTTAATCGAATTCTTAGTGTTTACATTTCAGAGTAACAGAATAAATTATTATTAGTTTTTTCATATATAGGTTTAGCTGATAACACATACGAGTACATATTTGCATAAGGCAGTAAAATTGAACTTAATAATCAATTTAACGCTCATAAAGATCTGAACAATCTGAATTTACTCTTAGTTGCATTTGAGACTGCCTAAGATGAGGTCGTTACTTATATTATTTTTCTTAACGTTAGCCAGTGTAGAAATTTTAGCCGCGAAAAGTGCTTTTTCAGCAGCACATACGGATATTTCGACGAATTTATTGCAAGGTCTACCTAACTCGGAAAGATTACGGTTTCTAGAAACAGTATGGAATAAATTACGTGAAAAATCACCGTTCGATGTAACAAAAGCACTAATACTCTATCGACTCTTGAAAGTGGATTTTTGCAATTGCCGTACAATCGACCCTTTAGAACTACAAGCGGCGCAAACTCTGCAGCAGGAATTACTACAAGAGATAACAAATAGGTGTGCTCATGCGCTAGCTGGTGTACTCAATGTAGAAGTCCCACCGGACAACAGTGACTTCCATAATCTACTGGAATTTTATGTAACAGACACACAAGAATTGCCCCTCCTGCTGAATATTATATACACTGCCATTGATAAAGTTTATAATTGGCAGCCTTCAGATGTATTAGCAATTCGACTATGGCGTTTAAACCAATTTAGCGATCGAATTTCATTCAGTATTAGAGTGCAAGCTCAACTTTATCTGTACTATAAGTTCAATAGTCGCGGCGATGTGAATGATGACTATTTATTAATATTTGGTTACAACATGCAACAAATACATAACGATCCCCGACAAAATCAACTAGAAGCAAATCTTAAACGTCGACTTAATAACGCAAAGTCAAGCTTACCTAGTGCCCTGCAGTATTTTTATTTGAAACCCAATTTTTGTCTGTATAATAAAGGTCGTAAAGAGTATATTTACACCACAGAAGGTATGGAAATTGACGGTGAACGCAGGTTTATTTTTAACTGGGTGGATCCATCATACGTCGATGATCATGGAAAATGGCGTGCAAACCTCACAGACGTGCCTAAACCAAATGGTGGTGTAAAACTTAAAGTTGCACTCCTGAGTATAAAGTTCTATATGTATATGTATTTGGAGAAAGATCTCGGTAATTATATGGATGTGGTAGCTGCTTGGCGTACGGGCAGTGCGCCAGCAACGAGTTATTGGAATGTCGAATTGGTAAATAATGAACTTATATTTAGCCAGGATGGAAAATTGATGTGCGCATCCGATAGATTATACGATAAAGACAGACGATACGTGAAAGCTTTCGATCATAGCGCTTATAGTTACTCCGATCAGGTATGCCAATGGATAGCCGGCGAATGTCATGCAGAAGATTTAGAAAAAACGTTAACCACTTGAAAAAACTGTTTAATTGTGGATCAAAAATATCTTAATTAAAATCTATGTATTTAATACTAATAAATGTAGAAAATAATTTGTAATTAAAGTAAAAGTGCATAAGTGTACAATGTTTTATAGTGCAAAATAATAATTAAGCAATAAAATATATAAAATTATTTAATAAAATATAAAAATTTGAAATATAAAAACTGCTATAAAGATTTACACTTAAAAGTATATTTTTAATACTTAATTTGTGTTCAGAGTTAATATATAAAATATGTTTGGGTTTTTAGAATCAATCGTCAGATTTTAATTACACTACAAACTATCAAAAATTTCTATGAATAACACCTTTCAATCATTTGTGTAATATCTCCATTGGAAGAAATGATCGATACTCGTAGTCTTATGACTTGTAAAAACCTGTACTTTGGTGCTTTTCGTAACAAAAATAAAAACACCAACAACTTTAGTAGATTCAATGAATAAATTAAAACTACTACTTCACTTGTATATTTAATAACAATTTAATTACTAACAGTATTCTATTTTCGCTTGAATGAAATTATTTTTCATTTCTAAGTTTTTAATTAATTTTTTAACAACGTGCAAGTATTAATTTCATTCAGCGTAAACACCAACAATTATCTACTCAATGGAAACATTCTCAGTGGTTTCTTATTTCGATCACTTCAAGCTTAAATACTGAATTTTATCCAGTGTACCAGTGCAAAATAGTTCCTACTTTTGATACTCTTCATGCCAATTAAAGGTGTACTAAGTTATTCAAAGTGTTTGCAATGCGATATGAAATTAATCAACTTAGCGATTCAATCTAATATTATATTATTCTAAACACGGACCTGTAAAGTTGTCACTTGAATGGGATTAATTGATTTGATTAATTTGATTAATTTGAATTGATTAATTTGAATTGATTAATTTGAATTGATTAATTTAAAGATATGTGCAGATTTCAAATTCTTATTCGATTCGGTTTGATTCTTTAGTACTTAATCGTTATCTTACTATCTGTATGAAAGGTAATCTTTGCCTTTGGCAAAGTCTGAACTAACCTTGTTTTTCTTAGATTTTTGTTTTTAAAAATTGCTTCATTTGAATGCAAATTTTTTCCTTCAATATTATTTTTAGAAGTAAGTAAAAAAATGGGATTTTTATAGTTTGAAGAAATGCTTGGAATTTATTTATTATTCACAAAGAATTTGTCTGATTCAGTTTTTTTAGAATTAAAAATTTACTGATACTGACAACATTTTAGTGTTTGTTAATTAACTTAATAAATCTTTTTCTTAATTTTTCATCGATAAATGTATTTACGTTTTCATTATTATTTTTTTAAATTTTAATTATTTATTATCAAATTATTAAAAATAATCTTATTTTATTTCACATTTCCTAATATGCATATTTACATTATACCTATGGTTAGATTGCATGAACTCTCATCTGAAAAGGTTAAATAATATACTAATATATCAAGAACTAACACAAAGATTTTTTTAGTAGACAAAATAAATTGAATTAAATTATTATTAAATTCTTGATGAGAAACAGCTAAGATTTCATATAATATTTGGAATGACTATACGATCTCCGCAATGAATCCCAGGATAACTGTTAAAATTTGGTTTATGGTATTGCGGATCATTATGCCGTTCCACTAAATACTTATAATATGAACTTTGTAAATTAAACCGGAATACTGACACAGGCTTGTTGTTGTAATATGAGCTAGTCATTAACCGTACTTACTCACTTTTATAGTCGGTCATTACAAATGTGTGTCTTCTTTGACTGTATCTAGTAGCCCCATCTACCCAGCCCGATAAGTGGCTTGTTGTCACCAATTAATAGCATCGAGTGTATACATATTGTTGGTCACCTAGCCCTTACACAAAAGAAGCGGACTTCTTTCACCACGTTTTTTACGAGTGAGTACTGAAACCGACACCAAAAGTCGCTAAATATGTATGCGTTTAACTATGTCAATATCACGATATAGCTCATACAGCTCATCGTTCGATATAATTCGTTACGCCACACCAATAGATCACAGCACCATAAATTATTTCAAGAATTTCTATTTGAAATTCTCCTCACACTTACTCATCAACCACACAACAGGACTAATATGATAAGAAACTCACAAAACGTGATATATGTTTGTGAAGAGAGGGTTTTATTTCTAAATAATAATAGATTTAACCCGAAGTTACATATGTTGACAAGAGTGAATCCCTAGGCTGAGTCATTTTTGGTATTTAAGCTGGTTCTCAAATAAACAAAGTCTGTCAACTCTTTGAAATAAAAGTTGTCAACAACGTCGTGTGTACTGAGATATTCTAAATATTTGTTTGTTTAAAGATAATACTTTGTCTTCGAAATATTATTCAATAGAAAAACATAGAAAAATAAATAGTTAAAAAGACACAACATTATAAAATCAACAAACTCAATTATGTAAATATTAGTATTACCTATGAGGCTTAGGCCTCACAATATTTAGCTAATCTCATTCATACTGACAGCTACTTTCACTTACAAGAATTTTAGATAAAGTATCTATGAAACTTTAAAATTATAATTATTCCATTTTAATGCATTATTGTGCGTTTTATTTTTTATATCTTTAAGGCTCAGTTTTATGTTTGAGTTTCAGAAAAATTGTTAACTTTAGAACATAATCCTTCTGTGAAGAATTGAAGTCGCAATAAAGTATATCAGTATTTATTTCTTATTTATTTTAATGAGATTGTCTTATATATTTTCTCAGTATTGTGCGAATAAAAGATACTATTTTTTTTATCGTATTTTCTTTGTTTGTTGTTTTGTGTATTTTCTTGTTATTGTTGTTGTTGTTGGTGTTGTTATTTTTCACTCATTGTTATTATGAAATTCATTTGTTATTTTATTTGTATAGTAAATAAAAACTTAAAGCGTATCATTATTCAAGATTCTGAAGTAAATTCGAAACTTTCCGCGGATTAAGCAAAAATAAACAAAAAGCGCAAATATTTCATTTCCGCTGTGATAGCTGTAGGCATTAGAATAAAATTTCTGAAGGGAAAACTACAGTACTTTTTATTTACAGATATTTTTGTTTTTTTTTTGTGATGTTATAAGTTTTTCTGTACAAAGTACATCTTCATTAAAATGTATTTCTAGATTTCCCGATAAAGATGCAAAATCAAGAGATAAAAAATTTTATTCAGCATGCGATCGTAAGGACATCGTAGTTGTGTCACTTCAATGGAATTAAATTAGCCACGGATTGGATAGATGCAAACATTTGCTTTAGAATTGAATTGCTTGTGTTATTGATGGGGAATCGCTGGTATAATAAGCAGTGCGGATGCTGTATAATGTTTCCCTCCAATTGCCAATTTCATTTACATTTACATAAACCATTATTATGAAAAACATTCACACAAGTGCACTCGAGTTTCGGGTTCTGTAAGTTCTGTGAGTTCTGTGAGTTGGAAACGCGAGCGTAAATTTTTCCAAATTCAAATTTAAACTTTTCAATTTCGTTGAAAGCATACAAACGTTTGAGACAAGCAACAAGATAAATAAAAGGCGGACGGACAACAGAGCGAAAGATATTTGGGGGGAGATAGAAAATTCACAGCAGTAAAGATGTCACATTGACAAAATACGCGATTTCATGCGGTTTTCATTCATGTTTGAATTTGGTACGATTTCAGATTTCTATCTATTTCTGGCTTGCGACGTGCCCAACACATATTTGAGCATAACTTCCTGTACATCAAATCGAGCATATTGCACTCGCTGAGATAACTGCAATTGAAAGGGATTTATACCAATTTAATTTGAGACTTACGGACCAATTTCGTACATCAGTTAAAAGTTTTCCTAAACTCGAATTGTATATAAAAAAGTTTACCACTCTTCCATTTCTGGAAACATTTTTTAGTAAAAAGAAAATCTTGAATTTAATGCTGCAGTAGAAAGTTTTACTTTCTCCCCACACGAACTCGTATAAAAATTTTACCACATTCGGTTTTATCAGTTGTGCTTAGTATTGCAAAATTTCTGCTCGTCAGAGTTCTTTCAGAGTTTCATGGAACATCTTCCCACTGGCAGAAAAATTATCATTTATTTCGCAGGTGAATCGCTACAAAATAAAAATCGTTTCCTTGCAGTAATCGTACAGAGAACGACTTAAACATTTAGAGCTCTCTAAACCTCAACTCAAATCAAAGTTTTCTTCATTTAATGGATTTTGGGGATATTAAAGTTTTAAACTAAGTTCGACCACATTTTTTTTTTTGCTTCTTGAATCTGTACATACGGACGTGCGATTCATTTCACAGGGGGGCAATGACGGAAAAAATTTTAAATTTGAGAATAAAAAATTGTTGGAAATTTTTTTTGTGCATAAGGAAAGTGACATGGAAGTAATTGCAGTTGGTATCCTGAAGTCAGCTGTAATTTATTTTATTAAGACACATTTTTCTATATATTGAAAACAATTTCTTTACAGTAACTGATAAGTAACTTCAATTGAATTTGGATAATATCAAATATGAGGTTCTGTAAGCAAAGTCTTACACTGCAAATTCTTTATTCAAACAATATTAACCAATATTGTATTAACTAAAATCGAACTTTAAATGCAAAATTCCAATTTTAATTAATTTAATTGTTTTTGAGTCTAAAAATATCCTGACTTTAACCACCATTTTTAATCTGAAATAGATTTCTTGTTACAGGGAGTGACTTTCGCAATAATACTCTATGCGAATTGAATATGACCTCTGATACTGTTATTAATTAAATTATGTTTTATATACGTACTATAGCGAAATGATTGGCTTTCTTTAAAAAAGTATAGCACGATACGATTCTATGGGAGCATTTCGAGTAAAAAGTTACCCAATAATTATATGTCTAAAATAGATTGTTCGTCTGGTTCCATTCGTACAAAACCAATTACTGTTATTACTTCATAAATTTTCAATCATACCTATAACAGAAGCTTCAAAAATTTTGAATCTAACTTTATAAAAATTCAATAAAATCTGTCAAAGATATAGGACAAAGATTGTCGCGTACTAAAATCAAATCTCAAACTATATTTTTCTTTCATACTTCTCTAAAATATCTTTCACTTAAGCTCTACTGTTTT